GGCGGGGAGCACCCACCCCTGGTGGCGGGGAGCACCCACCCCTGGTGCAATACGCTTCTTGTCTCATCTCTGTCTGCTTTTGTTCCTTCTCTCCGTGTCAGCGCGCTGAAAGGATCCCCTCCTCCCCCCCCAACCTCTTCTCCGCAAATCCGCAAACGACCGGGGTTTGTTGGTTTTTTCCTGGCTTAACGTAGGGAAGACAGATTTTTCTCTTGGTTTCCTTAGCTTCTCCTCCCGATCACGTAGGAATTGTTTTTCGGTAAATGTTGTTTTATTATTATTGTTATTAATAAAAGGCAAAAGGAATTTCTGTTTGAGAGAAATTTTTAACTAGATTCTGTTCTATATGAATTGTGACTTGCACCTTTTGTTCAAAGTATTTTATTTCTTTTGATGACATTGTACTTGTGACCGGTTTTCTCTCTCGTGCCAGTGGCGACAGCGGTGTTCTCCTTTAGGCAGTTCGGACACGCATCGCTCTCTTCTTTGTCCTTCTCGCCATCCTTTCCGTGGCGGACAGAGCGTGACGCCCCCCCGGCTTTCGGGTTTGCAGCGCTGCTAGACGAGCTGGCCGTGGCCGCCCAGACCTTGACCGCCCGCGGGGAGCGGCCGCTCCCCTTGCCCTGCGTTTGGGCCGCTGGGAGCTGTCCTGCCCAAATCTCGATGCGTTCTTTGCCGCGGCTCCCTTCTGCTAGCAACGAGAAGGGCTCTCCCCCAGTTAGTTCGGCGTAGGTCTGGAAGGGACTCGCGCTGCCCAGTCCGTTCTTGCGCCGAGGGGAGATGGGCTGCGCCTAAGCTGCGCCTGAGGCACAGTTTCGACTCGTGCTTAGCCACCTCGCGGAAGGGCTTGCAGAAGCTCCCCGGGCGGCCCCTCGGAGAGCTGGGGGAGCAGCGGGGCGCCTCGTCCCCGGCCCCCTTTGACTCGGGTCCTGCTGTCTCCGCAGGTGCAGCTAGATAACTTGCCTGGAATGAGTTTAATGGCAGGAAAAGCACTAAGCTCTGCTCGGATGTCTGACGCCGTCCTCAGCCAGTCGTCGCTGATGGCCAGTCAGCAGCTGCGCGACAGGGAGAGCGAGGGTAAGGACCTG